TAATATCAAAGCAATTGGAATTGCGGTTTTTAACAAGAAGTCGAAAATATCACTTTTTACCAAAAATATTCACCAAAATTATCATGAAATAAACAAATCTAGAAGTGGTCTACCCAAGGCACATATACACCAAATATCAAAGCATTCAGAATTGTAGTTTTCAAGAAAAAGTCGAAAACATAAAAAGTTGACACTGACGACGGACGCCGACAGACAATCACTAATATGATAAACATCCGCTCGACAAATTCGACAGTGGAGCTAAAAATGGCCGCATATACGATCTCCAAGATGACAATTTTCAGACAACGTATACTATTCAATATAATTTATCAAGAGTGAAATATAATTAATTAAAATATTATATAATAACAATATCATAGCATATATTTAGTAGCAGACATTTTATGATGCAAATTTATGATAATTCAATACTACATGAATAAATTACAGCTCCATGGTGACATCATTATGACTCATCACTCATGAGGGGTTCTCAAGAAGGCAGTGATCTCTAGCAAGAGTATATACATCTAGGTATTCATTATCAATCTGCGTCTATTTTTCACACCAAGTGTTGGTTTAACCTGAATGAAATCGTTGACAGATTTGCAGAATTACAGAATCAACTGTGTCGTCTCACTTACTTTATTTTCTGTGTAAACATGTAATCAAGTCAACAATATTGTGAACTAATTTTAATTTTGTGAGAGTTAAATTACATGAAGCGGAGAAAATTGTGAATTTTTTACTTTTTTTTTTGCAGCGGGTAAAAGTGAACTTTAGTTGAAATATAATTTCTGAACATTTAATTGAACAATCAACAGATTTAAAGAAATATTTTTTCTCCTGCAAAAAATGTTGGAAGATTTTTCAATTTTTATGGATTTTTTTATAATTTTTTATTCATTTTGGAGCAAATGAAAACCATTTCACATTAACTACATATCTTGATAAAAAATTTTGACAAATTTTGTGAAATCTGAAGAAAGTTGCTTAAAGCATTAACCTTTTCACCACCAGACTTTCATGCCCGAATTATTCTGTACCTTTTTTTTATATTCTTCAAAATTTCTAAAAAATTGAACCCTAATTTTGGAGCCAACAGATAAAATTTTAGTCAATTTTCAGTTTTTGCTAAAAAAACGCAGTCCCAATTTTCTGAAGGAAAATGCAGACTATAAACGGGACTATTTTGTGATGAAACATGGGAACTGGTAGAGAAAAGGTTAATAGTAACCTTTTTTGAATTACAGAATTTCAAATAGTTGTCATTAAATCAGTAATTCAACCATACATTATGTGGTCCATTATCTAAACCAATCAATTCACCCTAATGAGTTTAGTTCAGTTGTGGGAGGTGATCTAATCTTTAGAATAAATATATATCGTAAACAATCTATAAATTAAGAATGAGGGGGGTGTAAGCTGGTGTGCAGTGTTCGATCAGAAAACTTGGTCGGTTGAAACATGTATATCTGAATTGCTGTGATAACCAGGCTTCAAAATCACTGATGCATGAAGAACGCTGCACAAATTATTGACAAACTTCAACACAATTCAATCTCAAGTTTTGGCCTTGAAAAACCGGGCGACCTCTAATAACTGAAGTTCACGCTATGTAAAACAGTAAAACAGTATTTTTTTTTTTATGAAATCTTTAAGTTAGTTGATCTGCAAAATTATGCAAATTATGGAATACAAAAAGTGTGGTGAATTTTGATGTCGTCAAGAGTAAAGCAATAGAGAACTAACTACATTTGTATAATTTACAATGTTGGGGCAGCACCCACCTAATTTTCGTTAAATATACTGAAAGGTCTTTGCATCTGGTCTTAAAGCATTCGTATTCCAGCAATAAATAGCTAGAAGGCATCTACACTATTGTCATGTCTTTACGTAATATCCTGAGCAGCAGCTGACTTGAACAGACTCATTGTCAGTGAGCTGACTGGTTGGCTACACAGGTTATATAAGGTTAAACTCAGCATCTAAGACTTATATATACTCAGACAGGAAAATTATCCAGCTGTCTGTGGTAAATAAGGTTTTCAATGATCACAGTTAACAGTTTTGAATAGAAATTACAGCACAATAAAATTATTTGCATAATGATTTGAAAAATGTAGCACTGAATTTCTGGCGGGAAAAAATCACGGCATCCAAACGGCTGAAAAAATAACCTGACTGTATTCATGAAGATGGAATTTTTCAAAAGTTACGTCGACTTCCAGTCTCAAGGAATGCTATATCATTTTTGCAATTTTTCCCAAACTTGTTAAAATATATCTCTCCTCCAAATTTAAGTGTTTTACAGTATGTTGGCAGCAAATGAGTTTATCTTGTTGTTCATTTAAGATATAAAGCCAAGACAGACCACATGAGGAGCTTAGTTTAGAAACAGGACACCCAGACTATTAATCTGTTAGAGGTTATCTATGGTCAATGACTGAAACTCTCGTATGACTCATTTTAAACATAGACCCAATGATTAATGATTAGAATAAGTTCAATTTTGACATTCCACTTGTAATCAGAAGCAAAGAGGGAAATCTATACAATACATATAAATTGGGAAAACTAAAAATAAAATAAACTTGATGGAATGCTAACTGTAAATTACTTTCACTTGGAATTTATTTTTGTTATTTTCGGTGAAAATAATGGATTAGTGAAAATAAAATGAATATAATGGATCAGTGAAGATAAAATGAAAATAATGGATCAGTGAAGCTAAAATGAAAATAATGGATCAGTGAAGATAAAATCCATACAAAATGTGTCACCAAAAATCAGTGGAAATAAATTTACAACATACATACAAAACAGCCAAAATGTCTTTCCAGTGAAAAATTAATTCAGCTGAAAAAAATAAAGCATTTATGATTTTACAGTATACTTGCTTCCTAGTTAAAAATAATATCATAATATGATTCTCTGACCACTCAAGTCAATCTGTTAACTTTCACACAAGAAAAAACAAGAATGTAACTGCAAATAATAGTAATTTGTTGAATAATTAGCGGAGAAACTATAGAACAAATACAGAGAAAATGTTGGTGGAAATATATGGTGTTAAAATTAGGATGATGGTAGTATCAGTCACTTGAAGAATGAGAAGCCTAATAAATCGATCTGTACTTGTACTATTTATTATTAATTTTTTCCTAATTTTTCATTGCTAGTTCTCTAAATAACCCAAAGTTGTGAAACACAGCTACAGTCACCATAAAATCAATGCTTCATCAGTTTCAACGATCCATTTCTTACTTTAAAATGTTAAAAATAAAAATTACTACTAGTATGTCGTCTGGGGATACAATAATAACTATTCTTTCCAATAACTTATGTTTATTTTGTTCAAAACTGTATAATTTATGGGTATTCCAAAAGTTTCTGTCATTCTACTAGCGAGGAAAAAGTAATAACTGTGTATGTGGGGGGGGGGGATTTGCAGAGAACTGTGGGTATTATGACCAAATATGGTTTTGGAACAATCAGCTGACTTTCAGTCAATCACTGATGGTGTATTAAACCACATGATAATGATGCTTATAAGTTACCTGTAAATCAGAATGGAAACTATGATGGCCAGCATAACTCAGTAAATACATTACCTATGCTGAGATACTCGTATGTAAAGATACGTGATAAAAGCTGCAAATATCACTCATGTGCTTTTCAGCCAATACACCACAGGTAATATTTATCACTGTGCTGGACTTAATTTTAAAACCATGACAACGAAATGTCAAGCTCTATCACCAACAATATATATATACAGCATTTAATGCCCAAATGCAAACTAATTATAATACTGGT